ATCCCCGACGATGTTGTTGTTGAGATCGAAGATATTAACATGGACGATGGTAACATCTTCACAGACACACGAAACCAACACATTGCCGGTCAAAGTTCAGTGGGTCAACAAGATCGCTCAAGTGACGAATGTCCATTAGAAAGGATGAACACCTTCGATGACGCCGATGGCAGCATCTTCGATGATCTTAATATCTCCGACGATATTATTGTTGGCGCCGAAGATATTAACATCGGCGATGGTGACATCTTCGATGGTGTTGTTGTTAATGAATGAATGAATGCTCACCCGTATATTGCATATCATTTATTTGTCATTCCAAAATATTTCGAAATTAAAAAAAAAAGTGGAAAAACAGCTAACCACTGACTTGTTGTTTTTGAGATTTTTTTTAGGCTGCTGATCACATCAATATTTGTTGAATTATGAAATATATGTCCACATATTTCTTCACTCTCGATACTCCCACAAATTTGATTTAACGGCTTAATTGTTAGTAATGACCAGGTAGTTTAACACACAAAATTTACTTAAATGCATTAATACCCACATATTCACAATAGTGTAACAATAATACATCGAAACTTACCAATCAACACAAAAAATATCTCTAAACGAAGCAATTCAAACAAGGGAAAATGAAAATGCTGTCACAATTAAAGCATTTAAATGACAGAAGATATGTGCCCGAAAACTTACAGTTTAATGTTATTTTGAAATTATTAACACTAACATATCTGTCTAATCGACAATCATATTTAGTTATGCAGGTGTTAATCAATTAGCGCAAATGAAAATCTGGGGATATAACTTGTCAGCCAGGTGTATCAAGCCGAATAAAACGGAAATTTTACAAAATGATTTCTGAGGTTATGATGCTTGGCATAATATTCTTGGTTCATAATTCTATATTACTTGCTGTTTTTCGTCAAGTCTTTCAGTACTGCAGTATTTAGTGTTTTAATTATTTGTGATGGCATGAAATCGTTCTCAAATCGATACTACAGTTCTGAAATTTCTGAAGATTTATGGTGATTAACATCTTTTATATTTTCTACGGTTTTATCAGAGTTCTCACGCTTCTTATGGCTTTATCACTGAGACGACTCAATATCCACTGTAGTATATTAACCTGTCAGTGGGGCAATTTGTATACCGAATATATCGATAACTGAAAGATTCAAAATAACGGCAGCATTTACGACCAACGAATAAATAGCAGCATAATAATCAATAAATCAAAGTGACGATCAGTAAATCAGAATGCCAATCACTAAATCAAAGTGGTAATCACTAAATTATGATGATAATACTACTAAACCAAAGTGTTAATCGCTAGATCAGAATGCCAGTTA